TTTGTTGTTATGTGGATAATGGGTTGTCTATTAAATTCATGGATTAGGTTCCCTAATGTCTAGTTTGGTAATGTGCATTAAATTATTGCTGAATGAGGCAAATAAGTCAGGGACTATGACCATAAGCAGGGTTTTTTTTTGTTGATTAAAACACAGTAATCTTTCAAAACACATTCTTTTTCCACTTTGCAATGGCTTTGTTGCTGATTGTAGACTTATGTAATGAATTGACAATCGCTCACACGCAATTTATGAACCCGCCTTGTACTTAAAAGCTTTCGAATCTTCGGAGGTTAGTGGGGGTGCAATCTGGCGTTCGGAAGATATTACTTGTATCTGCCACGAACTCGCAGATTGTAAAACTAGAAACAGTTTGGAACTAGAATCTTTAAGTTAAACCATCTGCTATAGTTAACGAGGATTGCTACGACTCCTGAATTTAACGAGAATCCAAAAGCACTATTTCGCTGAAATTCTGGGATGGACAACATGATGAAGAGTCAAAAACTAACTGTGGAGTGTTTGTCTGGTCACAGTTTCGCAGCGGGGCAACCAACCAGATAGCAGTACGCACCCCAGCATCCTAGACCACAGTCAAACCATTCAAGGATCGTGACAGATCAATCAATAAACTTGCGCTATGTAGGACTTCGAAGCTGATAAGAGCCAGCACTGGTTTCTTTTGTGTGGCGAAGATAAAAACTAAGATATTTTCAACTGGTCTTTCCTTTTGTTTGCTTTCTTTTTTATACAAATTTTGGAAGGATGCTAGGGAAGTCAAACTGGCAAAGCTTTCCTTGTCGGGGGAGGCAAACAAGTCGGGGACTCCCACCATAAACAGCAGTGTCTTTAAAGCAAAACACTGTAGTATCCCGAATTGTGACGCACAACTGAAGCATGTCAAGTGTAACATGATCATTTACAAAACCTTTTGACATAGCTGGTTTTACTATTGATTTTGACTCTCGATATTTGACAACCGAGAAAGAGTTGATTGAACTCAAACTTGATCTTCTGGCGGGAATTTTCTCTGCGCCATCAGTGAGTGGAAATGTCGCCTTCAGCAAATAGGATCAACGCGGTTGGTGATATGCTGCGAAACCAAATATGCGCTCTCTCTCTCTCTGCAGGTCATGCACTAGTGCACTTGCTTCTAAAGAAAGTGCACATTCAATGAACCGTCGATTCAAGTTCGTTGTTACTTACAACTATATCAGCGCGGTACATTATTTTGAACATTACAAACATCTTCGCCTCCACAACCAAAGCGAATGCAGAATCTGCTGCTCTGCACTACGGACAACATTTATATGTAGCACAAAATGAAGACAAGTATCATTATATTTTTCAGACATTGAGGATAGAGATGAACTCTCAGGGTTGACACTTACCGTCTTGGCCTTGCGGCGATAAATTTTAAGTTGAGAGCGCATGATTCGCTGTCGATGTTCCATATAATCCGGTCACAATCGGCATGGCAGTCAATGCTTTCAACACTAAAATCAAAATAAAAGAAACAGAAGGTTTAGTTAAAAAATCTCAAGTTGATAATACATGAACGATGATTCAAATCGATTTAGAACGAAAAAATGCTCATCCATTCATTCTCGTTCGTAGGTAAAAAGTGATAACGGGCACTAATTAAATGTGACACCCCTGAAAGTTTCATCCAAGACTCTTAATTACTCTAAAAAGACGATACAAAGCAGACAAAAAGCATTAGCAAAATGAAACATATGACAATCGTGTCTATAGAGAATGTCTACATTGAACATGCTAAGCCAGAGAAATCCACACCGCCAATGGCCGACATCAAGATGTACCCTGCTATTTGTTAAAGGAGACCTCTGATGATCGTATGAGCCAAGTTAGATGATAACCAACTTTGTGAATAAGAGAATATTGCCACAGCGTTACTCTGACCGTAAGGCTGGTACTGAATCATTAGTTAAGTCAATATCCTCTTAATGCCAGCTTGGTGGTTCATTTAACATGGCCGTGGAATAAAATAGTAACCTCTGACGAGCACGAAACCCGACGAACTTTAGAAGTTCTATACACAAGATTCATATATCAACAATTGAATTTGAGATACACCCCGCAGTATACTCTTTAAAAGGCACACTCCTCTCTACCATAGAAGATGCTTGGGAACCCATATTGCCTTGACTTCCAAAACTTTCATCCTCCTGGGATTGAACAATCTGGATTCTATCTGGTTTCGGCTCGGCAATTCATGAAATTTGGGCGTGTATGTGATACTGGTTCTAACTACAGTAGCTTCTCTGCAAACCAGCTGAAGAGAGGGCCTCCAATTCGCCCCTTTCAGCAACATATCCAGATCGGATAGCCTCGCGATTGATCAGTCCAAGGAGGTTGAATTTATTTGAATCCGTACACGTTGTTGAGTGCTTGAGAGCAAAGTGGCGTATGCGCAGTTATTCCACCTCGTACTCAACTTTCCTCCTTCCTTGTGCTGCCTACATTGCAAAAGCTTTTCGAGTCCTCTCTTCATGCTTACAAATGTCAAGCTCCAGATACAGTGAGCATGTCATTTCTCTACCCTCGAACAGTTGCCACCTGTAACTGTCGCTACCGTTGCAATATCATTCCCAACAAAGGGACTGCCAGCTTCCAACGCTACAAGTCAATCTCCACTTTCTTCAAAACGTGAAATGGACAACTCCAGGAGATTAAAATCATTCTTCTAAAGATCCGGAATGCATGGAAAATTGATGTTCCAACCACACCCACCGTAGGTTCTGTAATGTGCTCAATTAAAGAGAACCACTCTATGTTGTTTCATATCTCCTCACACTGTTTCTAAACAACGACGAACTCCTGTGAAAGGCATCGCCATCAAGCACTTCATCGAGACAGACACCACATATCCGATTCTCAGCAAATGCTTGCGACAGTTGTTCCAAAAAACTCGCATGATCTCACGCACCTACTCTCAATCCGTCGCATGAAAAGAAAAAAATACGAAATCCGCCGCGGGGAACGAGAAACCCCTAAAAAAAAAAAAAAAAAAAAAAAAAACGAGTGTGATCCCTGCAATCACCAAAGCAATTCAGTGTCTCACGAACACATTGTGTGCTAACGCAATGCGGTATGCACAATCAAGCTGCGAGGCGAGCTCACAAACATAAACCCTAAAACTTTAAATCCTAAATCATTCGATGCTCCGTATTCAGACTAAACCCTAATTAATCCCCAACCCTTGAGAAGCGCATCATGTATTGTAGTCGACTTGGATTACCATCATAGATTTCAGCTTTAAATTCAATTTGTCACACACACATTATAATAATAATAATCATTATTATCATCACATAAAAGGCATATTTCCATGTTTATTATTTATGTTATTTATGTTATTTATATTTACTCAATTAGACCTACTTCTGCGTGCTTTTAAGAATAAACTTCAAGTGAGATGGTGTTATTTTCATTTTCATTTTTATTTTTGCATACTTTTGTATTTTATTTGTTGGGTTTAAGAAATTTTTACCTCTTTGAAACAATAAAATTTGGGGCACAACAAAATTTTATACATTCTCCAAGTAATAAAAAAAATATAGTTGCATTGAAAGACTGATTGAAAACAAAAAGAAAATTGTGATAAGAATTTTATTGAACATCAGTTTTTTAAAAAATAAATTTCACTTGATGCATGTTGAAAAAGTACAACCACAAAACAAACTATTTTCATCTTCAATTTACTTAGATTCAAAGTGTTTCACAATACACTCAACACTCACTTTGTTTTCTATGTGCATATTTTTTTTGTACACAATTTTTCTAGGTTTAAAAAACCTAGTGTTTTTGTTACTTAGTTGAAATTATGATGAACTATCCGTCAAACAAAACACAGAAATAACCATGTGAGTGTTATGAATTATCATGCTTATTTTTATCAATTTTTGATTTTTTTGAATTCTTTTACATCCTTGTCACCAAAAGTAGGGCAACTATTTGATAGATTTCATTTACATTGCTTCTACACAAATTCTTACTTTTAATTTTAAAGGATTTACAATAAAAATAAAAATAAAAAAATATTTTGATTTTATTTCATGAATCTTCTCTATTCGTGTTCAAATGAAACCTGACTAAGTCTTTCACTACAACACATAACATTCTTGTATGGGTTAGCATTTGTTAGCATTTTAAAATTTACAATTGAAGAAATTGACTACGTGGATTGCTTATTCATGCTTTTCAGCCCGCAAACTCCAATGACAAAAAACATGTATTGATCTAAAAAATGATTGAATTAGTCCTGCTAATTTTGGACATATCTTTATAAAGTTTCACATGGATGACTCACTCTATTAAAAAAAAAAAAAAAAGAAAAAAAAAAAAAAAAAAAGGCGCACAAATCTACATAACTTTACCTCAAAAAAGAACATCCGCATAACAAATTACGATTAAAAAAAACGAAATTCAGTGTACGAAAATCCTGATAAAGTTTAATTTTTTTTTTGGATAGAATTCAGCATCACTGTTTTATTCATAAACCACCAACCAGTATATTTTATTTTTTTTTCCCCTTAAGAGATAAATGACGACGTATTTTTGGAAGAAGGTAACTATGTGTAATTTGTGTGTTGCATTTAAATTTAGCACAAAAAACACAAATTAATGAATTGTAACATTATAACAATCATCTCAACCCACTGATGAATCCAACACTACATTAAAAAAATAATATTAAAAAGGGAAGAAAATACGGAACTATTTAAAAAACTCATCATGATGCTCTGATTACACTCTGTCACACTTATTTTCTTTTCGCCAAAGAACACAACCTGTCCACTCAACTTTGTTTCAATTTTGTAACCATTGGATGTAAGGACTTCAACTTTACTTCATGTTTGCATGATACATTTTACGTGTTTTTTGCATGTAACGGGAAATGGAATATACCCTAGAATGAACCGAACACCAGCGATTCAGTCTCAGTATAATAAATAAAATTTAACATGCACCGTCATGTTCAAACTCGTATTGGTGTGGTCCCAGTTTCTGCAGCTTGTTTAGAAAGTTTGGAACGAGTTTCTGGTTGCTGAGAATGTCCCTGAGTTGGTTGCGGTGACGAATGTGCTGTTTCGGGATTTGTATGACTGAGGTCTGAGTTTGTCGATGTTTTGTGTAGCGATCTAGATCTTTGAACTTGCTCTTATTGGTGTTATTTATTTCCTGTTATAGCTTGCTACCTTCAGGAGAGGCTCGTTGTTTCTTCGTCGCTTACTCCCATCAGTTGGAGTTTCTCAAAGGTTTCTGTGTTCTCCTTTTCTCTTCAGAGTCGTTCTGAATTCAGGTTTAATTTCAGGTATTCTCTACTTTCTTGTCGACAGTGCTCACACGTAAAGTTGTGGGTATTATGACTGTCGTTCGGTGTAGGAGTCCTCGGTAAGTAGCTACTTTGCTCCTTGTGTTCACTGTCTGGCAATTTTCACTCCAGAAGTCTCCAGCGAGTTAGTAATTTTGGAGCTGTCATCGTAAGTTGTTCTGTATGCCAATCATAATAGATGGACCCATAAGATCTCTCAGTTTTATTATGTCTGCAATTTCTATGGTGGAGACTGAGGGCTGCGTCCATTTCCTTGTGGACCTCCTTTCAACACGAGAATTTACAACTACGCTTGATGACTACTGTGGCACTTGAATAGCTTTATGGAGCTGGGCTCACATGTCTCAAAAGCCTGTAGTTGAAAGTTTTGCAACTGATATCATTGTGCGAGAGGCGCACGAGTCAATCTTGTGCGACGTCAAGACTGACTTGGCATTTTGGGGGCATCTCAGGGAGAGAATATTCGTAATTCTTCAACCCAGACATTCTTAACCGGTATAGCAACTGCACGAATCTCTTGATTACCGGATGGATTACGAATCGACCACAACGACTTGACAAAAACCTTCGAAGCTTCGAAGGGATGACCATGGCGAATGGGATAAAAATATGGGTGCTGGTCCTTTTTCTGCTGATCGGCACAAGCCTTGCAATTTCGCGTCCCCATTTCTCTGCCACGTCGGCCGGTTTGTCATCCCCTGGCAATCGTGAAGTTTCTCCGGTTCAACAACTCGATGAACCAAAATTTCTAGGCCCCTTGAGAACCGTAGCGAAGTGGATATGGTCGATCGAATTGGGCAGGGAAAAACTTCGTTGGCCCGAGCTAGAATGGAACTGGAAGTTAATACTGGCCATGGTGTTGGGAACATTGGGGGCCTCTATATGCAGCGCTGGTGGCGTTGGAGGAGGCGGGCTATTCATCCCCCTCTTCAATCTCCTCATCGGATTCGATGCGAAGTCGTCAGCTGCTCTCTCCAATTTCATGATCTTCGGAGGATCTATCGCAAATGTTTGGTGGAATATTCAGCGAGATCATCCGTTCCTGCCCGGGCACCCATTGATTGATTTCGACGTTGTGCTACTCTTGCAGCCTAACATGCTGTTGGGTATCAGCATCGGGGTTATTTGTAACGTCGCATTTCCATCGTGGTTCATCACTCTCGAGTTTATCATAACCTTGGGGTACATCACTGCAAGAAGCTTCAGAAGTGGGTTGGTGAGGTGGAGAAATGAGACTCGTTTGGTGCAGGAGGCGGCAGAGAAGACAGATTTGTCCTCACAGGCTCAAGAACGAGGACAAGCACATCTTGCTCAAGCGAGGTCGAGCTCTTTCGATGTCCTCACAGGCAAGCTTACTTTTCCTTGATAACGCGAGAATGGATAAACACGATTAGTGTGATATTCCGGTATGGTTATTTTCACACGACAAGGCTGGTAACAGAAAGTTTGCATGCAGGCTGTGTGCTCGAGGAATCTGAGGCGGCAACTTCTGAAGCATTGGAAAGGCTGGATTCGAAACTATCTTGGCAAAACCTTTGTCCCAAAGAGGGAGATGAAGCAATTGTGCCGCTATTAGGTGAATCTAAGCCGCCGAGGAACTTCCCTTACGTCAAGCTCTTGATGTTGACACTGGTGTGGACGGCATTTCTAGCAGTCCAACTTCTACGAGGAGGAAAATCCAGCGATGTAAGCCTCCGATCTCCCAAGTGATCTCTTCCCTGCGTGATTACCGTCTCATCAGAATCGAGATGCACATCTTCCTGCATCCCTCATTGAAACTTGGAAAATATTGCTCTTCTTGGCCGATGCAAGTGCCGCTGTTGATTTCTCTGACAAGATCGTGCAGCTTCCAGCAAATCTATCTATCATGAACCCAGTAATAGTTTTCATTGACACCGCCACGGATTTGATCTTTAGAGCATCCTGACCTTGGAGCCTTGTGGGGGGGCCTACTGGTTGCTGACAACTATGCAAGTGCCGCTTGCCTTTCTCCTCACCGGATGGTCTGCTTGGCATCTACATCATGCGTTGGAGGAGAAAAATACTCCAGAACTTGAGGTGGCGCTTTCATTACTGTCACTCGTCCCAACTGTGTGCAACTTTCACTTACTCGACGCTTCACATATAATCCTATTCTGATTGTTGTTTCCTTTTGTTGCCTCTTATGCAATTGCAGCTAGAGGAGTGGGATGTAATCGGGCCAAGGGCGTTTGTGCTCTTTCCGAGTATGGCACTACTTGCAGGATTCCTTGGCGGTATGCTAGGTATTGGAGGGGGCATGATTATCAACCCCATGCTCATCGAACTCGGCATGCATCCTCAGGTTTTATCTTGTACCTTCCATCACGCTTTCCATGTGTAACTCTTAGAATTATCGAAGTGGAAGGGGTGCAACAATTACGTTAGTATGGAAACCCTAAATCTCTTACATCGTGTTCTTGTTGTGCAGCTCACAGCAGCAACAACTGCGTTCATGGTGTTCTTTTCATCTTCCTTATCAGTGGTGCAATTTTGGCTCCTGGGTCGCCTGCAACTTGATTTTGCTTTGTTGTTCGGGGCAATCTGTTTCGTTTCCTCTCTGATTGGGCTCCATGTTGTCCAACAAGCTATCGCTAAATTTGGACGACCCTCAATTATCGTATTCTCTGTTAGCATTGTCTTAGGTATTAGCGCAGTTTCGACAACCATTTGTGGAGGATTCGAAGTTTGGGACCAGTTTACGGGTGGTGAATACATGGGGTTTCATTACCCTTGTTAGATATAGGCTCTCATTCCAAGACAAGTTACGCAAGCTAGAAAAATATTCTTGTAATTACTGATGGCCCCCGATACATGTCCACCTTGTATAATTACAATCCGTCGAATTAAAAAATTATTGTTATTTATTTTGTTTTTGTTTTTTGTTTTTTGGTTTCTGCTACCTTCGATCAGTTTCGACGCAAGACAATTTTTGCAAATGAAAGATGTCAAAAAACAATAACGTAATCAAGCGACAGGTGCAGTTTACCCGAAATTCCGAGGGCGCTGGTTTGCAGACGACAAGAAACCCACAACCCCTAACAGCAAAGCGAGATTCTGGCTTGCGTTACGGAGATTACAATTCATTGTCGGGGAGATCATTTATGTTTTATTGAACAAATCAGGTGCGGCCTAGAATGGGGTCGCCATGCAACATAATCTCACCTAAAAACCATCCTACTAAGTTTAAATCCATGGAACTTGTTGGGATTGAATGGAGGGACTGCGCAGCTTAAAGCTTCTCAGTGTCCGCAAATCTACTTGTCGACACGCACAGCTACGATCGCTGTCAAAACTTGCACAATTACAAAGCAAACTTCACATCAACAGCTGCAGGCAGCACGATTTCTTATGCAGGGGCTTTTTATCCTCAAAACTGAGATGGTGATGACTCGGTAACTAATTTTTCTTCGTCTTTGTCGGCTTTCCGATGTATTTCTTCAGCCATGTCTTGCCATTGATGAAGTGGACCGACAAGAAAGGCTTCGCTTCCTCGGCGGTCAATTCCCGCACCCATGCCACTCTCTCCTTTGAGTATGCACCTGGGCCTTTGCAGTTGTACTGCGCATAAAACACTTTGGATTGACGGTCGGCGAAGCCAAAATCCGACCATCCAGGTGGGTAGACAATGTTGTCCATCCATGTGTAGGAATACACAGTGCGGGAGAAGTTTCCCCACGCTCGGCCTAAGTAGATCGGTCCAGTGCCTGTAAGGGATGCATCCACGAAAGAGAATCCCGTGTTCATGTGGCTCTCGTTCCTTTTCTGAGCCGTCACGGAACCGAAGACCTTCGCCTCCGAGTGCAGATGGCAATTCTGCGTAACCCACAAAAAGGTCATGCATCACGCTGTCAATGCCAAATGTCCAACATACCGTTCTCAAATGTTATGCAGAAGCTAATGAAAGCCAATGTTCGAGTGAATGTGGATCTTCACCTTGTACAAACTTCGGCCATTGCCGAAAACAAAGTCGATGGAGCCTTGGATGTAGCAGTTCTCGAAGTAGTGCCTGCCCTTGTGGTCATACAATGTGTCTTGGTATCCGTAGAAGGAAGAGTTGTAAAACGCAGCTCTGTCTCCCGTGATGCGAAAAGCCACAGCTTGCCGTAGGACTGCACCTGGAGGCGGTTGGGGTGCTGTGTTCTACACACACGATGATGATGATCTAAGTATTTACAAACAAACATACTTCTTCTTTCGACAGGATGGCTTGTCGTCCAGGAAATTGACAAGGTTATTTTGGAACAAGGGCAAGGTAGTTACCCGAAACTGGATGTTCTCCGCAATAAAGTATTGAGAATTCACACCGACGGTGGCGCTTCTGTAGGTCTTAAGCAGCTGGTCATCGTCGTCGAAATCACCAGCTTTGTCACCCCACTGTATAATTGTTTTATCTCGGCCGTCGCCCCGGAACGTGATGTATGGTTTCGACACGTTGATGACTATCTTCTCCCTGAAGTTTCAAACGCATGAGTGCATGCCTGTGCATATTGAATGAGCTAGTAACGCATACAACTCAGATTTCGTTCTGGGATTGGAGAGAATGGTTATAACTTACTCGTAGATGCCCTCCCGGATGTGTATCACGGTGCGGTGCTTTTCGTGCTCGGCTATGGAGTCTAGAGCAGCATTGATGGTGGTGAAGTCGTCTTTCCCAGACTTGGAGACCGTGATCTTTCTGGACTTACCCTTTGGCTTCGGAAACTTTACAAACATCCCATTCGAGGCACCTCCCGACTTCGTTCCATCAGCCGGATGGTTGTCTTGCTCTGCTACCAATGAATCTCCATATACTGAATCAGACGCTGGAGTGTCGTCCGTTTCGAAGTCATAATCAGAGTCAGCATCTGAGCCCGATGTATCAGCCATCAATTTCAGCCAGGAGTCTACGTTGTCATCGTCATCGGCTGCAACTGATATGGCAGCACAGAAAACGAAGGAAACGAGGAGGAGCAGAAGCGCTGATCTCCTGCGAGCAATCCCCATCCTCGCAAACCTGCTCGACAAAAATTTGTAGACCCTTGTGTTAGTAAGCTATTGAATAGTAACAGCATTGAGCCTCCAAAACTCTTACATCCACCCTGACTCTTCACATGTTCACTACTTCTCGCTCAGTCGTTAGATTAGATTCTAGCTCTGCTTTTGCCAAAACTGCCCTCACAATGCAAAATATTGAGCTTATAATTGCAGATTGGATTTGCCAGGCCAAGTGAAAACACAAGGAAATCCATGATCAGTAACCCATATACCCCCCCCCCCCCCCCCCCCCAAACTGTGTAACATAATCTGCTAAAACCGACACTTCCTCCTGTCAGCATGTTATCCAGATTATTGGAACACAACTGGGGTTTTCTCGAGGTTACGAACAATGAATTGCCTGCATTCTCTGCACTGCACGTCCAGCCGACTACTCACATTGTACTAACGTCCTGAGCACAATCTCTCACAAAAACCAAGTCATATAGATTCATTTAATTGATTCGCCAGCCGCAGTCAACTCTGAATCCTATCCTTGATTCCGGCGGTGTATTCGGCAATGCTGCGCCGTGCCTGTTGAGAAAACTTCTCTCGAGATCCAGGGATCGACAGCAGAGAAAGGCAGCTCAAAGACAGTTCCACAAAGTCTCGTGACAGTGGCACATGATACTCTCTCAACCCTGAGCTGGAGCAATGCAGACGAAGACCACAATGACATGAAGGGATGTCTCACTTGGTATTGGTCAGGGTTCTTCCTCGCACCGCAAGGGGAGCTCCGAGAGTTGCAGGTGCTTCGACACAGGGAAGCTTGAACTGGAGCAGCGAGCTCAGGCATTTAGCTTCTGCAACCCGAACTGGACAAGTCCAACAACTATGACACGGTTACAGTCTGCAGATGACAGTCACTTTGTCTTTAAAAATACATCGAGTAACATGGTCTCTTAATACGTGGATTCTAACTGGAGTCCCTTGACCATCGGTAAACCGCAGGGTCCCGATCTAGATGCTCCACGGCGTTTTGCTCTACAGAGTTTCGTAGCTGGACTTGGCCCAGAACTCCATATTGCATTAACGTGGTGAGTTGTTGTACATCAAGCAAACACTTAAGTAAAAGTCGCGGTGCTTGAGATGTTAGTTGGTTTCATCAGGAGTTAAAATGTGGCTCGATACCAGGGAGTTTCTCAGGAGATTTCTGTTTTCCAGCGGTGAAAAATTGCATCACAGGAAAACTGGGTTGTGGAGAGGGGCAGTGTACTCACACGAGCACGTGCACTCTGCATCAATAAATTGATAGGGGGCCAAGGACAAAATGGCAGCCTGGATGTGGTGCACACCCAGGCTCTCCCAGTGGGTGTTAAAAAAGCCTCACCCATGTTCCTTCAAAATTCATGAACATTATGGCGTTGGGAACTGTATGATTGCTGCACACAGACCAGTTTTAATGCGCATCTTTTTATGAGTTTCTTTTTATCTTGTTTTGTTGTACTGAAGGTGCTCACGACCTGGCTCCTCTTTCATGCCTCCATCACCCCATCAAGTCCTCTGTGGGTTTGATGAGCTTAATTGAAAGAAACACAGAATAAGCCTGAGTCTTTGACACATTCACTCCTCTTTTTCTTGTCTAGAATTCTAGCTATTGAGTTTTTCTTCTCACTTTGTCTCAGTGATTGTGACAAAACACAGGTGGATGCACAGGTAAAAAAAAGTGATGATCGAGTCACTGCCTGGAGTCCTCGTGGAACAGAGTTCATAAAACCTGGTCTGATGTATTATACAGTACCAAGTATGTGAGACTTCTTCAATGGCCTTTGTACAGAAGCGGTAGTAGCGTCTAATCAAAATATTAAAAAATCAACAAAAGAAAATTTATATATATATATAAAAGAAAAGACAACAGCAAAGGGATGCAAGACAGTGAGTCTGCCAGACCCTGAAAGTTGGCAGCCTCCCCCGCTCTTCCCCATCAAACCACACGCTCAATTATTGTGTGGTTTATGCCTCCAGCTCTGCACACCAGTCTTCATGTCAACATGGCTACTCATTAATGGTTTCAGAGCCCTTTCAGTGAATTTCAAAAGCTTGCAGGCTGAAGAGAGGTATCACCTGCGTTGTTCCACGACACCCTGTGACTGGGGCATCTTCTGTGTTTGTAGTTTTGCTTTGGATGTTTTATTAGTGGTGGTCTTTGCAATGGGGTTATAAATATTTATCACACTGATGTCTTTGATCTAGTATGATTTGTAGAAAAACATAAACATAAAATTACATTCTAGTAAAATATTTGAAGTTCTGAAATATGCTTGTAACATGATACATTGATTTTTATTTATTTTCTTAAAAAATGAAAGCTTATATATGTTAAACATAGTAGAACATAGTGAAACTGAAAGGGGTTACTTTTAAATCTTATTTTATTTCATTGTTATTTAAAAACCACAAATCATTTTGTAACTACATTCTAAAATGTGATCAATGAGAATGAATGTGAATGTGAATGCATTAAGGTTTGATTATCGCATAAAATATCACCTCATGTACTAATTTTGTTCAAATTTAGTTGTTGATGGAAGGTCATTGCAAAACACTATCCATCATAGAATCATTTGCTTGCGACAGAATTATCAGCCAATTTGAAAGGAATAAATTTAATTGTTCGAAACCATCATTTCGAAGATGGAATGTCTGAATATCAAAACCTGAGAATAACTAATATGACACTTCATTCATTTACTTAAGAAACCATTTCTCTAAGACTTTTAGAGTGGAAATATCCCACATAGAATACCTCATGGAAACGCATTCCTATTATGTAATAAAAATCTGTAGATTCATTCGTTTTAAAATTTACACATTAGAATGTTAGTAATTTTTTCTTCAATGAACATTGAATGTAAGCAACTTTAAGAACCTTAGTTCTTGCATACAAATTCAATCAATACAAATATGTAATGTATCAAAAAGCATGGGACGCTGGCCTGGAAATACAGTCTTTAAGTATTTCAAAAAGTAAATCTTGTGAAATAGATGGTTTTCTGGCCATTACCAGGCTACCTTGTGAGAGGTTTGTCCCTCAGATATGTAAGTATATTAATTACAGTACTACACTATAGTGCACTATTTACCTGTACACCTTGTTCAAATCTTTAGTAGGTAACACAAAATAAATCTAGCGTAAGGTTTTTAGCACGGGATTACACGCACTGAATGCTTCTGTCTGTACTAAATGATTGGTGACATGAGCCAAAGAAATAAAATTGGCCTTAAGTCACCCATTTGTTTGTATTTGCTTCTTTACAGAAGATGAATACTCAACTCAGTTCACATGAAGAACACCTAACTCAGTTCCTGGTGTGAACAGGCTAAAAGTTCTGGGCATTCACAAGGATGTGATGTTTAAATCCATGCACCATCAGTACTTTTGGAGGCCAAACTCATAATGTCAAATAAACAGTAAAAAAAATCCAAAGACAAAAAAGAGAAACAGATGTTTGATGTGATACCAACCTTGACGTGACATAAGATTGGGGACGTTGTCTGCAGAAATTTGCTTCTCAAGAGCTCTATAGTCTAGATTTGTGCTATTCTGGGAACTATCAATGAATGTGTTGCATACCCCACTTTGGCTGTTTGTGTGTGGTTATTTCGTGGTAAGCTTTTCGTCACTAGGTTTGTGATGTCTCAAATGCTTTGAAGGGATAGGAGTATGAAAGATTACGTTGCAACTGGAGTATGCATGCGCTAGAATCATAGCATGTAGAGATATAGGCCGAACCCTCAACAATGCAATTTGGATTTGAGTTTCAGCTGAGACTTGTATCTCGCCATGTCATTTAAGTTTTAATAAGAGACCATAACAAGATGGGTATCACGCAGCATTACAAATCACTTTGATTGATGTTGATCGTCAACACTATGCAGTGTGTACAGTTCACGACGAGTTCCATCGTACAAATGATACGAATACTAATGAGACTGTATTGTTTGGGATCCAGCCCTTCTAATACAGACATTATATTTAACCTAATTGATGGCTAAATGACGACTTTTGCAGAAGATCAGGTATGGTAGTTGGGTCATCTCCCTCTACCCGTGACAAGGCTTTGATGCATGTCACACTCAACTGGAGAGAATACCTGAGAGAGAATCATGGTCCATGTGAGCCTGTCCTCCAGCAAGTGCTTCGTGTAACTTCAGAAAGCTTCTTCTGGCGGCTTTGGAAATGTCTTAGGCGTTCGATCCTTCTGCTGGAAATTCACACAATTACACGTTGGAGTATAAACCTTCGGTAGTAATAAGTTGTGCCGACGGTAAGTACTAACTCTAGTCTTTTTCTTTTGAATTTTTTTTTTTCTATATTTTACCTTTCTCGCCGGTGCTTCCAGTGTTTCAACGATGGAAAGATAGAAAGCTAGTCCTTGCCATGTCCCAAAACATCTAACAAAGCCACAAGTGAAGGGCAAGTTGGTGCGTTGGTACGCTCAGGTGCTTAATAGCTCTCACTGTTCTTCACATCTCTTAATGAGAAAGCAACAAAGCGCCAACCTGTTGCAGAACCAAAAATTCCTCAAATGAGGAACAGGATGCGAAACATATCCACCTTGCTCCGGAATTTTGATCAGTTTGTTCAGTAAAAAAGAGCAAGCATCCGTCACATCCGCTGATGCACTTTCTCCAGGGCTTCCAAGCTGCACAAATCAAATACAAAATCGCCATAAATAAAAGACTACGCCAGCCATGAAGGAAATCTTCAAAAAGTGCCAGAACTGGTACTGAAGGGCTATTCTCAATCGCAGAAGCGATTAACCATAGTATTAGAATGGAAATCATGAGAGATACGTAAAACTCTTACGCATGCTGTAAAAGAAAAGGACTCTAGTAATGGCTTCTCAAACAGTTTCGAGCAACAAACAACTTCGACTCTCTTGGTCAACTGCAACGATAAAAGGGCAGGTCCTTAAAGAAGTCGCTTCTTAGAACCGCTTTAGGGGCTGGATTAATAAAGAAAGCAACAATTACTGGTTATCAGCAATTAAGGCATATATTTGTTGCATCGAGATCTCGACCACATGCATTGGCAAGCGTGAAAGCGTGATGAACGGAAACACTGCAACGGTGATCCGTTCTAGCACATTCATGTAGAAAATGAAAGATAGAGATGAGAAATGTAAGGACAACAGACATACCGTCTTAGAAGAGGAGAGGGGTTGTATGGGAATAATTTTCGTCGATAAAGACGTTCAATAGCAGCCTTCAACTGCGACAAGCAATGGAGTGTTCTTTTGACTAAATCCAGAGAGCCAGTTTTACTAGTTCCACGTAAAGATGAGTGCTCCATTTGATCATAAAATTCAGGCTTGATGAAGAACCCAGTGCACTGCATAAGATACTGCAGGAATAAAGCACCAGTACTTTCAGAGATCAGATAGTCCACTAAAACCGTGTGATCATAGGACAGCGTCTGCAGGAAAGCATGTAAAAGCTGTGCAGGGCCAAGTGCGGTGGCAATTGGAAGGATTCTCTTCATGTTTCTCTCAACCAGAGCAAGCAGCGAGGATCTCAACCCCACTAGCAATAACAACATTTCGATCATCAAGTCATCTTCATCCAAATACAACCCCACAAACACCATCGAGAACTCTTCAATCTTGTCAATGGGGACCGAGTCACTCTGCAAATTTAGCCATTCTTGAATACCTGCACTTGCTTCTTCCTTCAGGGCTCTTCGAAAAAAAAATTCACACTGACTAGAGTTCGATATGATATCAAGATTGACAAAGTTAACTGTGCTTCCTCTATCTATGGTACTGGCACCTGAACAATCCCACTGGTGTAGATAATTTAACTCACGGTCATAAACTCCAGCACTGACGTGAGGAGCACGGTCTTCAAGTTCTTTCCTGTCTTCGGGATTCTTTAGGTTGAGACTATTCCGAAGAGCGGATTGATATGGGTCAGGTTCGTCAACTGAAAGAGACCATATCTGGAATAGGAGAAAGAGAGCTCGGCACCGTAGATGAGTTGCAGAGAGAGGAAGAGATTCGCCAACCTTTTCCGGGATATGTAAAAAGGACTTAACAAAAGAGGAGTGCGCTAGGTTGTTGTCCCTTGGGAGCTTACAATCCTCTAAAAGAGAGAAGCCAGTGAGGTCAGAGGCCTCTTTACGAAGGGCTCGTAAGCATAGTAAAGGAAGTTTGAGCTTTATTTTGAACCACCTGGAGAGTCCTATCATCAATCGCTGCACAGGATAAAAAGATTCAGAATCAAATTTAAATCCACTATTGATTATATGGCAAACAATCAAAAATAACATGCAACAAACTCAGAGAAGCCAGTGAAGTAGACCAAGGATTACCAAAACTTTATGTCGCAAGAAAGAAGAAGGGCACTGTGCAGATGGAGGATGCCTACGTGGAGACAGGGCAACCTCCGCAAATAAGGGTATGCAGCCCCCAATCTTATCAATCAGAGATGACTGCAATTCTGTGCTTCTAGAAGTTGCATCCTCAGTTTCCCAATCACAGCATGCAATGGCTGTACAGAGAAGTTGCAGAAGAGCACCACATGCTAGTCCTTGTTTTGAACAAACGAAATCGCCTTGATTGCACGTCAGAGGACAAATCAACTTCACTAGTGCGCAAAACTTTTCTTCCAAAAGGCCAAGAAATATCTCAGTGTGCTCAAACACAGTAACATTCTCTTTAAGGCAAGCTTTTAAGATGCATCGAAGAACCTCTAAGCCACAAACAAGTCGTCCCCAATGCTCCTTGAAATGTAACGAATGATTTATCTCATGCACCGCTAACAGGTTGGAAGAATGAGAAGTCAATTCGTGTTTTTCTGTGATACGATCTCCCCGTATTATTAGTCCTTTGGCGCATCCCAAAAGTAGAGTTTTCCAGATATGGTGCAAGAGAGAGCACCATGATGGTTCCTGAGCCAAGAATCACTATTAGACTGTTCAAATACCCAATTAACCCAAATGCATACAAGAACCGCCATTGAAAATAAATAAATAAATAAATAAATTGTAGTTTAAAGTAACTATGAAGAAAATGAGGCTCGACGCAGAAAGATATACAAAAGAGCATACTCTTCCTAATGAGGAAAAGATCAGAACCTGAGCTTTTAAGATTAGATGGTCGGATATTGCAATCAGTATCTTCTTCACAGAGTGCCGCACAAACTCGTTCTCTGCCTCTATAAGACACACCTGAACAAGAAGCACAAGATTCATAAACAAGAAGCTGCTTTTTCCACCATCAAACTAAAAAACTTCATTAAAAATTGTGTTCACTACTTCAAGTGCTTACCAGATTAGGAACATTCGCAAAGATGTTGTGCAGTACATCGCTGTAAACTATCGTGTTCACGCCTAAATGCTCGCCCAAAGAATCATCTACACGATCCAGAGGTCTGCTTCGCTTCTTTTCGTTTCACCCCAAGAACAGAGCTTGAATCAGTAATGACGGAGGCAATCGAAGCGGACGTATCAATCTCCTTAACAAATAAAGAGAATATAAACATCAACCCGTCCCAAACTAGTAAGCTAATGACACTCTAGTTGCATTCGCTTCCCGCCTACTACGATGGTCCAGTTCACTTCCCACAGCTCTTCCTAGTGCGAAGCCGCTAAAAATTAGGTGAAGAAGCTCACAGCATCCCCTAAACTCACTCCCGTGCGCTCCAATTTATTCGCACTAGCCAAGCACGCATAAATCTGCAAACAGCACCGCCATAAGGTCTCAATATCCAGTTCACTCAAATTCTTCCACAACTTGGTAAACCTACTATACTTACACATCACACATGTCTGAACTGGACATTTCAAGTTAAAAGATTCTCCATGTAGTATTCACTATAAACACATCGAACAAGAAACGGGGAATGCGTACATGATTCAACTGTACAAGCTGCTCTTCCCATTCAGCCGATGTGTCCACCAAATTTTCCATGTCCAGTGAAACAAACCGTTGGAGAGAGGATAACCAATGTGAGGAGTCAAGAATCTTTACTTGTACTCACACACCAACGAAAACAGATATAATCTGTAACTTCGAGTTGTAACCCAAAGAGGCAAGTGGGTTCTCTAGTTCTACCAACATCCTCCAACTCTGCTAAACCCTAATTCTTGATCATTTCATGAATGACAAAGCCAGAATTTGAAAGAGATGGCCGCTTTGAGGAGCAAAAGCACAACAAAGAATCGACAGTGACGAAGTTCCCCAGGGACGTTCTCTTGTTCCCTTCTGGATTGATTGTTTGCTGTGTGGTTTTTGTCACCTTGAGCCCAGTTTCTTCTTCTTGTTGTGAATCCCCAAAACCGGAATTTGCACCACAAGCACAGTCGAATGGTCTTGAGTTCGTTGGAAAATAAAGAAAAGCTATCCTGAACGGCATAAGCCGAGCGAGATGGTAATTATTTTTTTCTGGAGCGCTTCAGAGTGCAATTTTCTCGGGTACCTGGAAAGCAGTACTTGCAGTGACAATATTATAATAGAATTAGACTAGAGGATGACTTCTTCCATTTTTATTACTAAGTTGCGTTTTGATATGCCTCTTCGAAGCTACGTAATCATCGAGTAGTTGGAGATAACCGCCATTCGGCATGAAGTATTTGTCATTTGAGCTTGCGTCTAGGGCATGCATGATGAAACACATGGGCTTTAAGAAACATGACTGCCGGTCGTAAAGGCGTCCCCACAGCTCCAATGAACAATTAGAATGCCAGAAGTTGAGGAAGTTGGAACCATATCTTACCGAACAGCATAACATTATTGTACATGTTTCTTGAGTGACTACAATCCTGTCTGTCCAGTAAGAAGTGGAATGATCCTCTAGGCATTGAGATTGCATGGTGTAGAACTCACTCCGCAGTTTAGTTGCTGCAGTGCCAAATTGTGAATCCCATTATATGCTGTCAATCACAGCAGTGAGAACATCTACAGTCTTTGTTAAAGATCAGGGCAAACTCATCCTTTGCTAAGTTATGGAGCCTGGATTTGAAGTATCCTCCATCAGTGGAGAAAAGGGTTCAAGCACCGATCGGCACCTACAGCCTTGAATATCAAACTTGCTCAACATGTGTGTCGAAAGCACAGTGCTAACTTCCCGACCTAAATCCAATCCTTTCCTTCTGATCTTAATGTTCAAATGCGTTGGTATCAGTTGCATGAGGTCTTCAGTTTTAATTTTGGTGAATCTTCTGTCTGCTGAAGCTGTGAGGTTGCATGTCTTGGTTTTCTGACTGTGCAGAGATTGCAGAAACCTGGCTCTTCTCGCCACATTTATGGACTGGTTTGCTATGTTGCCAAATCTTCGGCAATCCCACAATTGGGTGTGAGACCTCTTCCCCTTTCTGAAGCTGCATTTTGTGATGAGGATATGTTTTGTGATTGGTGTTCCCTTTACAATGATTTGCGGATTTTATTTCAGTCTGGAAAAAGCTTTCCATTGATTCACATGCACTTGAAATATTGGGGAATTGAAATGTATGAGTATTTTGAGTGAGATTGAGGGGGTTCTTAGACCTAGAATTCCATTTTTAAAAAGTCATGAAATATAAGTTCTAAATTAGTCTTTTGCTTGGTAAAGAAAACATTTCTTTTGCAAGTCCTGGTTTTTGGATATAGCATAAAATGAGAAGTGGCCATAAAATAGATCAAATTGTATTTTTATTATAATAAATTAGATTTTTTAAAAATTCAATGGTTATTTGAGAAGTTTATGACATAATTGCTCAACTCTTTTTAAAAACCACTTCATAAGAAGGGCCCAACAAGAAAATTTGGAGACAACACTTTTAATACCATCTAGAAAAAATTATAAAGCCTTTGGATTGATTTTTGTAAATATAAAGCCAACTCAATGAGACTTCTTGATTTTAGATAATCAAAGGATTCAAAAGTTGCAACCTTTCACCTTATCTCTTGACTATAAAGACCTAAACAACCACATGATTTTGCATTAAAAAACATAGGTGTTCAAGCAATAGATTTTATATTAGCCATGGCCAAAATTTGTATTAACAATCAACAATTTGTATTAACAATCAACAATTGTATTACAATTTCACCACTTGTAAGAAAAGTGGGTACTTGTATTATAGATGTAAAATATTCATTTGAAGTTGTTTAAAAATGTTATAGATGTAAAATGTTATATATAAAAAAATAAAAAATAAAACATAACATTAGAAATAGTTAAGAAAGACATAAATGGTCTCGTACATAGAAAAGAAAAGAAATAAAAACCTTTGAACACTTTTGGTGTTTTAAAAAGTGCTCACTAAAAAAGATACAACTTTCTACAAGTAAACTATTTTACTTTTTGATATTTTGTAAATTTATAAGAAATGAGTTATAAAGAAATAAATTTTAGAATAATGTAGCTAATGTTGGGAGTTAGTTGTTGGTGATGTATGTACATTAATAAATTATCTAAGTTTTTGTATTTATATGAAAATATTTCAAGTCCTTATTGGTTATAAATTGCATTGGTTACATTTTTTTCCTTAAGAATTATAGTTTATAGATTAAGAATTATGGTGGATGGTAAATAGTATAGTATTAACATTGTTCATTTCAATTAAACTACAAAATGATGTAATGTCATCTCATAACTTTGGAAAAAAAAAATTGAAGTAATTCTATTTATTTAAAAAAATTAAAAAAATTGTTAAAAAAGTAGATTTAAAATATTTTAGAATTTATTTTTATTTCATTATATTTAATATGAAAAATAAAAAATATATTTTAAACAATATATATATATATATATATATATATATATATGTGCGCATACAAATTATACAATGTATTGAATAATAACCAATATTCTTGATTTTTTTGTTTAGAAATACTTTATAAGATACAAAAAAATAATTTTATTTATATTTTTTGTTCATATAAATTCAAGCTTAAATTTTAAAACACAATCTTGTGTACCAAATTTAAGCTTGTATTTTATTCACATTAATTCAAGCTTCTATTGTAAGAAAAAAAACTTTAAAATTTTTAAAAGTAATATTGATTTAGAAATTAATAAAATATTTTTTATTTAAATATTTATGAAAAACAACTAAGAAGTCTTATACTTATATTATATTTTTTATTCTTAATAAAAATTATATAGATCATGTCTACTTAAATCTAATAATAAATAATAAAATAATATAATTTAAATTTAAAAGTAGATATAAATATGCTATTCAGGATTATAATGCATTTATAGAATTTGCTAAAAAAATAGTCTAGTCACAAAAAGTAATTCTTATTTTTTAAAAAAACTAAAAAAAATATGTATTCCCGAACTCTTACTTCTTCCTTGCATTAATTAAAATCTTATGGATGGAAGATATTCTAAATATTAATAAGTTCTATAGATGACCTTCTTTGAATAAGACTTGCCAAGGGCAGATACTCATTTCTTATACAACCAAACCACTATATTAAATTTTATCCCTATTTGTGCCTCTTTATCTTTATTCTCTTAATAGAGATACTTTTTCCTACCCTCATCTCATCATATCTTTTATTTCCTTAATTCTACTTAAGGATACAAAATATATATACATATATATATATATATATATATATATACATATATTTCTTTTCTTTTCTTTTCTTTTCTATAAAGATAACAAGAAAGTTTACTATATTGAGCTTTATAATTATCAATTTGTTGGATTAAATTAGATTATTTGATTATATAACAATGATTTGAATGATATTTTGATGATTAAGATAGAACTCACTATGATATTACAAAGAATTTTGTTGTTTTCATGTTTGGATAAATATTGTGTCATTTTAGATTAATACAAGAATTGCTATGAAGTCAACTCTATATAATTATTTGAACAAAATACAAAGATCTTGTCTTATGTTGCAATTATTAAAATTTTACATAAATTAAAAAGAATAAAATTATGAGAAGAAGAATTACTTATTGTTGAAAAATTTAATATGTATAAATTGTTTTTTGAGATGGCCATCAAAGATAGATCTAAATAAATTTAGTTGAGGTTAGAAGGTAAAAATTAAGAAATTGCATTATTTAATACAATAGAATTACACTAGAATTAACGTTGATATATATATATATATGTAATTGATAAAGCCACACCCTACTTTCCACCTCATACTCTATTTTCTACATGTCCTTTGTCCTTGACCCCATTTTCAATCTTGGTCCTTTATTCCCATCTTGTCCCTACCTTGTCCAATTCCACACTCCTTGACTCTACCCCAATTCCCTCTCCAATTCCACCCCTATCCTAAGAGTTTTTATTTATTTTTTTATTTTTATTTTTATGAATTAATCATACATGTTTCAAAGTTTATCAGTTGGGTTTTACGTAGCTGAAATTTTTTAATACAAATTATTGTGGTGTTAGATCAACACACTAACATGATGTATGTTATTACTTGCAAAAAAATTAAAAAAATATTTGTATAAAGAATTGAATAGTCATGAAATAATGGCTGTTGTGATTGTATTTATAAAGATGTAATTATTATTAATTAAGTTTCTATTCATATCAAATTTTAAAAAAATATGTTTCATATCATGGTAGTATATATCAAGTTGTTGTCTTATTAATTTAATGTGTGTGTGCACACAGACAAACATACACATAAATGAGTAATCATTAATAAGATTCAAACACTAAAATAACAATGAGAGTGTAATATTAACTATCAAAAATTTAATTGAATATTGTATGTTCTTCAATAAAAGGTTTTATGGATATACAGATATACATAAATATGTGCATTCTGATTTTCTTTTAAGTTTTAAAAATAATTCCTTACAAAAAGGAATTTACTTGAGAATGTTTTGATGTCTAAGCTACCTATTTTAGTTTATTAATCATTCTAAACAAATATTATTAATAATATTCAATAATATCATTCTAAACAAAAATTATTAATAATATTCAATAAATTTTATATTTAATTTTTTTAAATATTATAAATAATCATAAAAATAATTACATGGATTTATTTTTTTGAATAATAAAACATTAAAAAAAATTTAATATATGTCTTAAAATTTAAGATAAAATGTAAGAAGTTTAAAATTTGGCATTTTAAAATAGATATAGTTATTCCAAATTAATAATAAATTAAACTAAATTTATTTTATTTTCAAATAAAATTTCCACATATCCATTAAGAAAAATTCATAATCATCTTTTAAATTTAATATGGATAAACAAGGTTGAAAAGTTTACTGAAAGTATCCTTAAAAATTACGTGGTTTTTATTATTTCTGTTTCATATCATATGTATGTGGAATTATATATATATATATATATATATATATATATATGTATACAAATATAAAAGTACATTTATTATTTAAAAAAAACAATAAACATACTTTTAGAAGATAATAGAAATTATGTAATTAAAATTATTTATTTAAAATTCATAAAATTTTAACTTGAGTTGTAGATGTGATAAATAATTAACTCAAATAAAGAATGAATATAAAGTTTTATTGTAATTATTTAACATGATCTTTTGCAAACATAAGAAATATTGAAAGATTTTTTTTTTTATTATTTTTGAAAGTAAATGTGAAAGTTTTTTATTTTAATTTAAATAAGTTTGGTAAACTAATGCCTAAGATATATTATATTTAAGTATTAAACAAAATAAATAACCAATTGAATTTTTCAATTTCAATCTCTTAGGATGGGGGTGGAGAAGGGGGTGGGGTTGAATAGGATAGAAACTGAGTAGATTCAAGCAAGGTGGGGTGAAGACAAGAGCAAGAAAGGAGGGTTAGGAACAAAGGACATGTACAAAATAGAAAAATGGATCATGATGTAGGAAGTAGGATGTGGCTTTAACAAAATTGGGGTGTGGCTATAACAATTTCATATATATATATATATATATATATATATTTAAAAGTTAAATTATAATTTAGTAGTGAAATAATTGATACTGCCACCAAAGACTAATCGTTTGATTTTAAGCGTTGGAATTCTCTTTGAAGTTAATATTGGAATGTTAGCTCCTGCCTCAAGCATTTTTAGTATTGTAGCCACTTTAATTGCATCAAATTCTCAAATGAAAAGTAAAGAGATAAATAAAAACAACATGTGTAAGTATAGTCTATGTCAGCTAAAATTGTTTGCTTGAAGTGTTCTATGAAGAGATCAGAAATGAGAGAGTGCAAATATGCAAAGAACTTGAAAGGGTGGTGTGCAAGCAACTTCTGCAAGAATTTTGACAAGGGCAAGGGAAAGTCAAATGAACAACTATTTTAGGACCTACAAAAGACATCAAAATTTGCTTCTAAGAAATGGGAAGAATAGAATATGAAAAAAAGCTATATAAATAGATCCTCTTTCTTTGCTTAGAATTTGAGTTTGATGATAGGAACCTTTTTATGATTGTGTTCAGAAATCTGGATTCACTGATGCGATTCTTTTGGGGGCAATGTACCTTGCAGGAAACACTAAAGTTGAGCAACACTTACCGTAATTGGCAATACAATTCATATGTAGTAGTCATTCACCTGGTGAACAGTTGAAAGACCAGGACTATTCTTACATTGGACAGTTGAGGAATTGGTCATCTAGTAATTTCAACGCTTATATTTAAACAGATTCTTGAAGCTGCTACAGGATTTCCGTCCTAATTTGTCCAGATCTATTGCTAAACCATATAACATAATAGTTGTGGGGTTCTGGCCTGACAATATCTTATTGCGCCACTGAATATTAAGAATAATTTTGCAAGCAACTCCTGCACCCAATAAAGAAACACAGAGCTCGTGTCAATCTAACAAAAAGGAACATTCTCACCAAGACATAGAATGTAATATGCACATGCAGTATTGGCAGAAATTAGGTCATTACAAAACCGTCTTCTATACTACGATGGAGTAGATTCTTACACAAATGCATTCTCTGATACCGATTCTTTCCCCCCATGCATTCATTAACATCTTTTGATCTGTTTGCAGTGTTTGTGTACGTGTCCTTAAACTGAAGATGGTGTAGTTCAATCCCCGCTAGAGGAAATATCCTCTTGCAGGAATCGACGTCGTCTTCGGCATACGAGGGAGCGAGAAAAATGTAATTACCCTACTCTGAATAGTACTCATCCCCAGTGTTGGTAAAGGAAAAAATAAAAGCAAAACTCTGACTGTAACAAGAGCAATCGGCAGTCCAGTTAGGTCCATGTACCTCTCAATCTGCAATCCTAAAACAGCTATGAATTCCCTCGCAGCTCGCTTTCCTCCCTCGAAAAACCACCCAATCTGAATGTGCACAAATAACTTGACTCAACACAGCCAATCTGCTTCACCTCGTTGATCTAACCCTGCCTTCAATCCTCATTGTCACCCGCCGCCATCTCGACGAATGTTCTGCAGAGTCACAACTGCCCCTGTAGAGTTTGATAGATCGAAAATGCATCGTACAAAGAGGAGTTCATGCAGACAGAAGGGGAAGATGAGAAGAGGAGCGCGGAGAGGATGGGATCACATAGTCTTGTCATGCTGAGCACGTCAGTTACCAGGTTTAAGCTCCAATGTTGATTTCTCCATGTTGCACGGAGCCCCGACGCCACAGATGAAAACTGAAATAAAGGCTTGATCCTTCGATTGCCCCTGTAGTTCTGAGGAGGTGTGTATGTACTATTTGCAAAATCTGTTTGAGTATTGAAAAGGTAAACTAGTGGAGACTACATTGTAGAGAATTCGAATAGAAGAAACTGCCAGTTAAATGATTCGTTCGTGTCTGCATCGAAATACCGTCCCTCTAACTAATACTGTCACTTATGTGTATCATCACAATGTAACCCTGGCGTCATAGCATCATCATCATCACTTAGACCCATTAATTGTGTAAGAATCATTGTGTATCATGGGTTGTCGATTCTTGGATTTACCGGCGTGTGGAGACGTTGACGTTGCCTAAGGTTTACAGATTTTCGAAGCAAAAAAGAAAAACAAAAAACAAAAAACCATTGGATCTAGCTTGTTGTGTTCGCATGAGGGCGTGGGAGAGTGGCTTACTGAGAACATGAAAAAATCCAAATATATATATATATATATATATATGTATATTTATTCCAACAAAACCAACAAAAACTTCCAGTAAGGCTATACAGCGTTGAATTTCTGAAAGGAATACTGTGATCAGTGTTGATTTTGCAGTGGTTCAACTCAGACCACTTAGGAACAAAATTCGTTTTTAAACTTGATGAGCTCTTCTTCACGCAGGCGAGGCGCGGTTTCGGCGCACAAATGCGGGCCATGTGACATTATCGAACGAGCACCGAAACTATTCAAATTTGACAAAGGTATGAAATTCTCGTTGCAAGAGTGCTACCAATGCGACGGGACACGCCGGGACAAACACTCACTTGCAGTATAAAGGCGCCGCAGGTACGTTGCCGATCTCCCCCAGACTCAGCCCATCCTGTCCTCAGTGCAGTCCAGACTTCACTGACCAGTGCCGCGTGTGGCAATTTCAAATCAAGCCCATTAAGGCAATTTACCTTTATTGTAACGCGGGGCGGAACCCTGTACCTGCTGCCATGGTATCGCTGAGAGGGATTGGAGATCATAGAAACCTGTCAGCTTCGCTTGCAGCTTGCCATGTTGCCATGGAGAGTAGACTTCGATCATGTGTTTGAATTTATTGACGTTGCGAGTATATTGTGCTTCAGCTATGGCAAGTCTTGGAAGCGGGGGTTGCATGGTGTGGGCCTTTGTGGACTTTGAAGGGGTCAACGAAGCTCGGGAGAGTGATTGAATTTGAGTGCAGTGGCCTTGGAGCATTCAGGATGGGTGGGAAGCTGTAGTTTGCTGGGGTTTAATGAGCGGGAGGATGAGGACGTCGAGAGATGGCTCGCTGGAATTGTTCGGGGATGATTACAGACGGAGGGTTGAGCACTTTCGCAAGCCTCCACGACCTCATGGACGAAGACGGAAGTTGTGCGGAGGGAAAGCAAGGAGGAGCGGGGGGAACCTTACCACTTTCCAGAAATTGGACCGGGAGATGGGCAGATTCGTCAACGCCCAGAAAGGATTGGAAGGTGCGAGGAGCAATGGATTTTTCAGTATGCATGGTTCCGAGGAGGATAGCAGTGTCAGGGGGGTGAGGCATGGCGTGAAATGGAAATGCGGGTGGATGTTTGAGCAGGATAGTTTGTATTGGGAAACAGTGCGACGACAAAATGTGTCCGGGGGCGAAGAGCAAGATTCATGGCGGGAGCGTGCATATGCCAGACTTGATGCTGTGAAGGAGAAGGATGCCGGAAGTGTAACTTCGCGCGATTCCAGCAGCCCGTTGGGATATGATGGGGCTTTGAGGCATCACTGCAGCACCGACCATGAATCTATTAGCTCAGGTATGGGATTGCACCTTCGGCCGACCCGTGCTAGAGCTAAAAAGAATGGGAGCAGACGAGATGAGATGAGTGTAGAGGTAACTCGTGACGCTGAGAAGTACCCTTCGAGGAACCAGAAAAGTTCGACTGACCGTGGAAGAAATGGTCGAGCGGATGCGAAAGCGAAGAAAGATTGGCCTGCATTTCTGAGGGTTAAATGTGAGGTATTGCAAATGGAGAAAGAATTTGCCGATCAGAGATTGCAGCAACAGACTTCGGAGATGGCTCAGGCTGCGGAGATAGCGCACTATCTTCGTTCGACCGTGCAAAACATACTTGAGGTAGACAGTCCTTTCTGATTGGTTGATCCTCTCCAGCATGTCAATGTTCTACAGTCATCTCATCCGCAGTTTTATGTCTACCATTCTCTCAATTCAGATTATATGGTTAATGGGACTTGGGCAGAGCCATTGATGTGTGAATTGCATGGTTTGTGGTTTAGGCAAAGTTTCCAAATACATCTAACTTGAATTCAGTGACATTTTGTCTCGAACTGAAACAGAGTGCAAAAAGGGGGACCGTATCAGCTCCTTGTACACCTGGGAGACATGAAGCAGAGGACAGCCCTGGGCTCCTACAGAGAATTCAGCGGCTCCAAAAATTTAACGTGCAAAGTAATCTACAGGACCAAGCTAAGGATTTTCAAAACAGGATCGAGAACCTGAGACTTAAATCTCAGGTACGAAGTGCAGCCTCGAGCTTCCGCAAAGACCTCAATCCCAAGGCGCGTGTCAGCACCTCCCCAGCGGTAATTCTCGGTTGTTTCTTTGATGTTTACAACTTTTGTAGTGCTGATACGAGCTGAACTATATATAAATTCATCAGGACCTTTAGAAGGCTCCCATGGGTGGAATCAACCAACAGTCCACCAATATTCGCTTGAGGTGATAAATGAATGTTATCAAACTATCAAACTATAAGATACCTTTCGAGGAGGGGAAATAGACTGAATATTGCAAAGAATACTTTTTGTATTGCACAATTTCTGGCGGCTAAAATCTGTGTATATGTGGTGATACCTGTCTCAGGTCACATCAGACGGGGAGGAGTGGGCACAAGTCCAAGAGGTGTTGAAGCTATTAAGAGGCAAAGCAGAATCCTTACAGCAGAGTTGTGAAAACTGGGAGAAGCGGGCCTTCTTCGCTGAGGCGAAAGCTGCTTCTTTGCAGATTGAGGTAAATTTCTTCGGAGAAACCTTGTTAGGTTTATGTAAAGCTTCATCAGTTTTCTTGCTCGCACATTAACGGAAGTGAACCTGAAACGAAGTAGAGTTGCTATCTGCAGATACTATATTTGAACTAACTTCGGTTACGTGACTGTACGTCAGGAAGAGAAATGGCGAACGGAAGCGCAAAAAGCGGAGGAGAAAGTGCGAGACTTGGAGAGGGAACTTGTGCAGGTTAGAGCCGTCCTGGAAGAAGTCAGAAACCGCCATGCTCTCGAGCAGAGCCGGTTACTGGGCTCTGGCAACAATCACGGGTACACTGTGGTTTTGCAGCCGATTGTGACAAGCCATGGGAGCGCCAATAGCAAATGTGCCGTTTCATCGAACTGTGAAGGCAATTGTTACGGCTCTGGTTTAGAGCATCATCAAACAGATTGTGATCACCAAACTGAAGCTGTCTCAATGGACCGCAGAATTGGAAGCGATGAGATACGTGGACACGACGAACTTTCAAGTCCCAACGACGTCGTGGCTGCACCTACAACCCCCAGTCCATACAGAGGACTGAGCGAGGCCAGCACCCAAGGCAGCAGCAGACACAGATACGAAGGGTTATTGGAAGGCGACGGCGATGATACTCCAATCAAAATTCCAAAAGACTCTGGGCAAACTAATGTTCACGAAATTGCAAAATCCGAGGTGCAGAAGTCTTTGTCACAGAAGTGGTTTAAGCAAAGACCCAAGAGCAGGAGGCCCACTACTCCTGGCTGTGAGGTGGGAATATCTGATGCTCGTTCAAACCTTGGAAGTAGTTCCATTCGGGGCAAAGTCCATGCAGCAGGAGGGTCGAGTGGTCAAAACGCTCTTCGCAAGCCAGGACCGGTGCTTAGTGGCAACACGAGGGCGGGCTCTTCCGGTTCTTTACTCGAGAAGAGAGCTCCTCTTAAAGAAATCAAACGCAACACTCCTTCTCACACTGCAACAAAAGTTGAGTGGTCGTAGCTGCAGTCAGCACACATGTGCGGACTAATGCACCAAATTGGGGACCTTCTATTCAGGCTTTCAATAGCTTTTTGCCTCACATAGTCGAGAAGGTTTTGGTAGTGTGGGAGCTTCCTGTTGCAGAGTGTTGCATCAATCCGCCACCTGAGGCTGTGGAGGTCTCGAACACAATCTTCGACATATGTTCTATAAGTTTCGCCTCAACGAAGACATTTTCGACTTACATGAATTGAACTGGGAATATTCGCAGGACATGGGTTAGTGATGTAACGTTGGAGTCCTCCATTTGCATCAGGTCATAGCTAGGCTCCCATGCAACTGACAACCTCTTCAATACCCAATATTCAACGCCCCCAAAGAGCTGTGAAACTGCACAGAATCTGTCAGTTGATTTGAAGCACAATCTGAATGCAAGTGAACAGGGATAAAAAGTAAGCTTGAGGGCACTGTGATTGCAAAATTCACCATTCACTAACACCATCTGAAAAGAGGATCTGGCTGTGTATTGTGTTCAGAAACTCAGTGTGCGGAGTTGACCTAGAAGTCTTTGAAGCCGGTCAAATAATGCCAGTTTGAATAGGCACCACTTTGAATATGCTAGCTCAATTCAGATATTTGATGTCTTAGCACCATTCAAAGCCAATGGACTGTTGTTAGATTACCTTCCATCACATCCACTCTCTTCCAGAGTAATGGTTGTCTATTGAAGTTCCGGCCTTGATTTACATGATTTTGTGTTACCCTTGATACAGCACTTTGATCTGTATAATTGCTGAACACTTTTCATATTGATCTCATGTTTTTTTTTTTTTTTTTTTTTTTTTTTCCGAAATCACACACAGGAAGAAAAAAATCAAACAAACAAACCTAGAAAAACGAAGAAGAGGAATAAGGGTTCCATTTTTTTGTGAGCACAGAATATTAATGAGAAACTTTACTCATGTAATCACAATAAAAAAGAGAAAAGTATCTTTGTTCAATGTTCAAACATTATTAGAAAACTTATACATGAAAAAATTAATTCTCTTGATGATATTAATCAGCGTCAACTTGTAATTGTTAAAGATCTCTTTAAAAGTGGTGTTGACTAGAAAAATATTTCTTAATGAATGTAAAGTACCTAGGTAGTATAAATAAAAGTAGTAATACAAACGCTCTTTTGCCACATATTTAATATTTAAAATAGAAGTATTAGTTATACGGATTGAAAATGACTTTATTCTTTTGTAGGATATTATTGTAATAATGTCTTACATTTTGTCTTATTTGTGTACATGTGTGGTATGGCAAGTTTGTCCATCATTTAATGAACATCTCTATGGAGGTTCTACAAGAGGGCAAGGGTAGTGTCACCATAATATGGTATATGTTCTATTTGAATGACATTTAGAGTATTCTTTAAATAGCCTTCAAAGGTCTAAGCACCTTGAGTGTTTAACTTGATAAAACTATAATACTACAATAATATTTAAATCTCCAATCACATCTCTACATTGGTAAGAAAAATCATATATATATATATATATATATTCAATTCATCATTGTTCACTATATCATCTACTCTTTTTTTTCAAAAAATCAATACATCCTCATGTATTGATTATCTTCTTCCCATTCGTTTTCATCTTTTTCTTTTGCTATCACTTTCATTGCATCAAGCGTGGAAAAATTACCCATTATCTTAAGATTTGATTTTAAAATTACTTCTTGTCATCATAGACAGAAACAATATTTGAAACATCTTGTGCTTTAATTGCCATTTTCAACAATATGAAAACCACTTTTGACCACCTATATTTTATTTTAGTTAATGTATGTATGAAAAAAAAAAAAAAAAAAAAAAAAAAACTCATCTTAATTAATTTTTTGTATAATCTTGAGATAACACCAAACATATAGTATGATAAATTCAACACATTTTCCTCAAATCAAAATTTTTACACTTGCGATTCTTATAGTAATATATAAATTAAATATTAGAACTTTTATGGTATTTCTTAGAGCCATAAAAAAATTATTTATTTATTTATATGCATAGACATACACACATAAATACATGTTAATCATTTTTAAATTATATCCAACCCAAAAAATTTCACTTCTATTACACAGTTAAATACATTATGATCAAGTTGTGTAAACATCAACTTTGTTGCAAACTAAATATATTCTTGATGTCTTGTACAAAATTTACATGCAAGTCATTATTATTATTATTGCTATTAAATCAATACTCCTCTAGCTTTTGGAAACCAATTTTTCCTATGAGGATAAATAATAATAAAAAAAAAATTATGATATTTAAGAAAATGATTGAGTAACAACTAAATCTTATCACAAAGTCATTGATGGACAACAATACTTAATCACGACACACTAGGTCCTCATATTTCTTGTTAGTTATTTTGTACAATTCATTGGCAAAGCATGTTTCCTTCTCTTTTTTAGATGGCAGATGTGTAGCGTGCTATTTTGAAGATACCATGAATATAATATTTACTTTTATAGAGGCCAAAAATATGATTTTAAAGGATTTCTGTTTGTTTTTTGTTTTTTGTTTTTTTTTTTCGAATATTGTCAAGCTAGATAAAAATATTGCCAACGACCACTTTACTTATATATTTTTATTTCATATTCAATCTTATCATTCATTGTCAATGTAAACATAATTTGCAAGTCATGTTTTCTTTGTCATTAATGAAAACGTATTCTTTCTACTACTGCCTCAAAATCTTAATGAAGTCTTAAATTCTCATTCAAGAACATAAATATTCACTCCAAGTTTTTTAATATTTTATATCTTGGTAATAAACTTTACACATTTTTTAAAAAGATACGTCTAAAATTTCGTTATCAATCTAAACATGTTGATATATATATATATATATATATATACATATGTAGAGAGAGAGAGAGAGAAAGAGAGAGAAACAAACAAACACACACATGCTTTGTCTTCATGTTGAAACTTGGACAAATTGCAGTGGACCTGGACTAAACATAAAACATGGTTAAGATATATGCACAAATTTAGAAATGACAACTCGCTTTATTTTTAAAAAATGAAGATACTTTGCTTGTTGAAAATACATACTGGAGTTGACTATAGTCACAAATGATAGAAGAGTTATTCCAAATTTAACCAACATCAAGTAGCACCAAATTAAAGATGTTTCAAGATATGATTCCATTCAGTTGAAAATTTCAGTGTTTTCTGACAAAATGAATAAATAAGTAAGTAAATAAATAGAATAGAAGGATTTTGAAATAATATTCTAGGTCGATAAGTGTGTTAATTCTTTAGGAATGTTAAATATAATTCTGAGAGGAGTGATCATCAATTAGCATGTAGCCACCCTTGATTCACATTCTATAAAATAATATCGTTACTCATAATTACAACAAGCAGAACCTGAAGGAAAAATTTCCAAATAAGTTGAAGACATGAGAAAAGGATTTTAAAGTTCAATCTCTATTGTAGACTCAATCCAAGTAATCTCAAAAATAATATTGGCAATAATATTTCTCAAGTTTTCTTCCATACGATAAATGATAATTGAAGGATTAACTTTGGTTTTTGGTTTTTGGTTTATTTTTACTTTTACATAATTATTTTACCAAGTAAAAAATCAATATGTGAAAAAGTTGGGTACAAATTAGCAAAAGAAAACAAACAATTACTAATGTGATAAACTGACATAAAATCTCACTGATAATTACCTTTATAATAAAAATTTATTTATCATCCTAATTTTTAGCCGATAAACATAGCATGCGGGGACATTCATCATGTGTGTATCCTTATTAATTGACCACAAAGAGTATGGAACTTATTAGCAAGGTAAGTTGTCACAACATTAGTTTATTTTATTTTACTTTGACAATGATTTGTATATTAAAATAACTTTTTACTTCCATGGGATCTGAAGTGCACCAAATATTAAAAAAAATCTTTTAATATCACATTTAGAACGCCCTCAAAGATTTATTCTTTACCATCAGTTGATCTGAACACAAGATTTGCCATAATGTTGTATAAATGGTGCTGCTCCATCTCCCCCTGTGCAACTGCCAGAGAGTAATCTGAATTTTGATACAAAAAGCTTCATGAAGATGGACGAAGATAGACAACACCTGCAACAAAAAATTCTCAAGAACAGTCAAGTTGTGATGTTCAAGCTTGGGACTTGTAGATGGGTCTTAATCCTTGCAATTTCTAGTGCTACTACAACTTGTTGCTGTGTACATGTCAGCTTCTACAAACTTGCATACTAACACACATACAGCAACAACATACCTTAAAATGTTGAACCCTTGAACCACTTGGAAGAAATTCATTAAACTCGAGCACCAATGTTAAATTAGTAGCGAGAAACTGTGTATCCATAGTCCAGATTTTCAGATAAGGCTACGACATTTGGATCCATGCAGCATGCAACTGCAAATAAAATAACTTGTTATTGGATCCATCCATAAAGAAAAGACAAAGCCAACATGCTTTCGATGGGTAAGCCCAAAAGTTACACCATGTCTAATCCTCCACATTTCAGAGTAAAAATGCAGCCGACATCATACGTTTTCCCACTTTACAGGGATGGAATCACAGTATTATAAAGTTATTATACAGTGAACCTACTCGCGGGGATTTCCGAGACTCATTCATTCAGTGTGAACCTTTAGATGAGCAAGAACCTAAGAGTTTAAGTTTCAACTACATACAAATTTAACCACTCATATATTTCTTTCTAGAAAATCACAAATCCGCTCCTCCATGTACATCCGGTCTCTGAGCCCCCGTGGCATGTGTCTCTCGTCTGGGAACACCAACAGCTCATAATCCTTGGATGCAGCGGTCAGTGAATTGATAAGCCGAGCCGTGTGCCGAAAATGTACATTCTCATCGATCATTCCATGCACCAGCAACAGTTTTCCAGTAATCTGGTAAACGTGGTGCATGACAGAGCTGTATTGGTACCCTGCTGGGTTGCTGGCCGGGGTTCCCATGTATTTCTCCGTGTAGTGGGTGTCGTAGCCATCCCAAGAGGTGACAGGCGCCCCAGCAACAGCACAGGAAAAAGTTTGTGGACATCGTGCTAGGGCCATTGAAGCCATGTAACCGCCATAGCTCCATCCATATATTCCAATTCGGTTCGACATTGCAAGGCCTTGGCTTACCAGCCACTGCACTCCTGTTTGCTGATCCTCTACGTCGATCTTTCCCATGTTGTGCTTGATCGCACCTTCAAAATCCAGACCTCTTCTTGCACTACCTCTGTTGTCCAGCTGCACATAATGTACACATCAATGTGGAATCGGGTTTCAATATTTAAGAAAGAAAAACATAAACTCTAAATAAAACACACGCATCTTCTGAAAAAATAGAAATAGAAATCTACTTATGGATATATGATTATCAATAGTATCTAATAGCAAAATAAAAAAGAGCCGTCTTCGTTTTGAGACTTGCTTTCTTTCTTTCTTTCTGAAAGCTCTATCCAAGGTAAATAATAATAATAATAATAATAACAATTCAATAAAAGCTACTAAGAGAACCATTTTGGTGCCACTCTGACAGCCCCTAATTCCATGAATTAAGAGAAGACCAGTGTATGAAAAGGACGTAAAGGGATTTACCTTCCAAACAAGAATGCCTCGACTCCTCAAATACTGGGCACGCATATCCACCGTGTTCATCCAGGAATTGCACACTACTTGCACATTAGGGCCACCATAAACACTCACCACTGTTCTATAAGGTGGGCGCCCGAACTGTTTAGAATCTGGAATGTAAACTAGCCCATGCAGCACAGTCCCATCGCTAGCAGTGAGTGATTTGAACTCCGGAGGTGTTAATTGCAACCTACGTGTGTGGTACGTAGGGGCTGGTTGCTCATAAATGGTAACGAGTAGCTTTCCGGTGTCCAAGGAACGCAGCAACAGCCTGGGTGGTGTATCTAAAGAGTCGTGTATATCAACAAACATCTTCATCTGGTGATCTAATACGACAATATGCCGACCTGCCCCTTGCGTCAGCCTCTTGGGCTCTACGAGGTTTGGTTGCGTGCAGTCCAGACTGACGCTGTACAGATGCATTTCTAAAGGACTATCATGTGTTCCTGTAAAGTACACCAGGCCGGCCTCTTCGTCCACTCCTGCAACTTGCTCTACCATCCAGCTCCCTTGCGTGAGAGCCCTAATGCAATTGCCAAATTCATCGTGCACATACAAATGCCGAAATCCTGTTTTTTCACTTGCCCAGATGAACCCCCCTGAAAGAAGTCCATGACATTTTCGTAGAGAAGTGAAACAATCGTGCAAGTTAACCCAAACATCGCTCTCCTCAGTGAACAACACAGTCCTCTTGCCAGTGAGTGGATCAAATTTCAATAGCTTAAGTTTTGTCTGAGTCCGATTCTGTACTTGCGCAGTGAGACTACCATTGGGCAACCACGTGACTCGTGCTAGATACTCCTCATCATCTCGACCTTCACCGCACAAACCAACCTCCAAATCCATCCAGACTACACTACCGCCATTTGATGGAACCACACCTAATCGCACACTCACGTTTGAGTGGCCTGCAAAAGGATAAGCGTGAATTTCTTCAGCCTCCCCACCAGTTGACGCCTTCCCCTGGTGCATGATCCTAAAAGGTGGAATCCTGGTTGAATCTACTTCCGCAAATGCAATGTAGCGACTATCAGGCGACCACCAGAAACCATTTCGTCTATCCATTTCTTCCTGTACTGCATACAAATGTCATTAGTTATCTTTCCACACTTGAAACCTCAAATGCAGTCATTCTGACATCAGTTGGTGAAAGAAAACTCAGAGCAAGAACGGCATGTATAGGAAGTAAGCAAGGAACATATAATTTGAATTGCGAGTCTAATTGTATTCAACAGCAGAGATACTAAGTGCATTAAATACATGAAAAACCAACGGAAAGCAAAACCCTTCGTGTGGAATGTCAAGATACCTGCGCTATATACTCGGCAAGTCCATGAGTCTGCAACAAGGCCAAGACTAAAAAGGATTAGGTCCACCCAGATATGACAGTATGTACACTAATCTCATACATGCACACCTTCAATAATGAAACTTGATAACTGCAAAATAGCAGAGATATGAGATTAACCTACATGATAAAATACTGATTTAGGAGCAGATAACATACTTATTATCGAGGCCATCATGTATTAATGACTAGTACCAAGAGTACGAGAACTAACCTAAGAAAATGAGAGAATAAATCGAATTTCGAAACTACTCAAAGAATCCAGGATATGACACAAGAAAATAAGTGGGTGCAATGACGATAGCAAAACCAACCTTGCCAGTTCCACGTGCACCAGATGTAATTTGAATGGGATCCCCGAATGCTACTGGAACAACAAATATCTCATCATCACGAACGTAAGCTATAGAACATGCATCTGGTGAAAGCTGGGGATCCAGAATAGGAGACCAAGAGGTGCTAGCCACTCGCCGTTGTAGTTCAGCTCGTACTCCTTCTTGAACATAAATCTGCCGTCATGTAAAGTGCACATTATAAAAAAGACGTTGAAGCATACGCGTTTAATCAATGTACGCTCGAAAATGAATTACCAGGGGGAGTACACAGTATACAACAGAATAAATACAAAAATGAAGAGACCCAATTCCGTGTGTAAACAGCACCAGGCTACAATGTTATTGGTAATGTTGGAGCAAGACAAACACCGAGATCATTAACATTGCTACTGGACACACCAATCAAGATTTCCAAAATTCAGACTGTGCAGAACATCAGAAAGGACGTACCCCACTAGGAAGGGGAACCATCAGACGGTGAGGAACACCCTTGCCCCACTCATAACGTGTCACTCCCAATCCCCTTTCTCGCAACCTCTCCCTCCTCAGCTTCTCAACTGTGGAAAGGTTACCCTCGTCCACTCCGCCACCAGGTGGACTGACCAGCAACCGCTGTTGCCTGGCAGCCACATCAAAAGCGTAGATTTTCCTGCTGAGAGTGCTGTCGGGACTGTACAAATATGTGATTAGCTTATCATCGGGACTGAACTGCACTGAAGCCGGCGCTACATATCCTGGAAGAGGGTACTGAACAATGTCCTCGACTGGGAAGAGCGTGTATTCATCTCCAAGAGCTTGGCTGTCAGTGGTGGGCATGGTGGTCTGAATAGAAGGCGGAGAGAGTGAGCCTGCAAGATCAGATTCTTCGGGGTCACTTCGGATAGATTGTAGGGACAAACTGCCACTGAGCATACCACACCATCCAAGGAATGAGAATCTCTCAGATTTTCCAGTTTTCAGAGCAGAAGTTTTCGTATCAGTTGATCTACTTGCAAATCTGGGTTCCGCCGTGGTAACGTCTGTAACTTGATACCCCAGTAGTGACATCCAGCTTCACGCACATCTCGAAGTATCATCTGCCCCGCAGCTAAGCCCCGGGAGCCTACCCACAGGATTTTGCTCCGCAAGTCTTGTCAAAATGACAAAATCACCACCCAATGCGCGGCAATCACGAGTTCACAAACCTCGCACGCCGGTCTCGTCAGCAACAGTTTCTGATATCCACGAATCACATCAAACTAATGAGCTGCAATCGCAAACGCAGAAGGAGCAACCATGGCTCCCTATGAACAACAATCGACACAAGAGAAAACACGCGAGCAGGGGGACAAAAAATTGACAAATTGCCCCCGGTTGATACGACCAATGATTGAGCTCATCGAAACTCCATACAAAACTCGCCCTAATCTGCCATGTAACTTTTGAAACAATTTCGACCTAGGACGCTCATTTCTTATGGAGAAAAAAACAACATAAAGGACGGCGCAATTGGCAGTTGATTAACCAAGAATTCCTTCTGAATCCAGAACAACGCTGGACCGAAGAAGTCAATGTCCGATTTCAGGGTCTTCAAACCTGCATGAGGCACTCACAGCACTTATCCTAATCTCCTCCACAACAACGTCTCTCAGATGCTCCCAACGACACGAACTCCTAACTGTTACACAAATCAATTCAGCAGATGCTCACAGACGGTCACACAAGTAGATACATCACCACCACCGCAATTCCTCAGATACCTCCAATAGATCAAAATTGTTGGTGTCAAGTCAAACCCCGAATCTCAAAGCAGCGATCCACACCTATAGCAACCCACCACATTCAGGTGCACCCCACACCCAGTCTCTCCAGCACAGAATCTTTCCAATTCTTAGCTAACCTACAACCACCACCACCACCACCATCGTCGAACCCAGCTATCGAGAACAACACGAAGAAGTCAACAACACAGAACTACTCTTCTCCTTCCCGAAAGCTAACACAAAAGGGAAGTCGAAGAAGAAGAAGAAGAAGCGAAAGGAACAACAACGTGGGGAGGATGTCACCTCCTTGAGGCAAATGATTACTAATCAAGCAAGGTTACGGCATAAGAACCACCCTTGAGAGCCCCCTCGCTACCTCTATAAACACCGACTCTCTAAACACACTCTCTCGCTGCCTTCTCTCTCTCTCTCCCTTCCCCTCCACACCAAGACACAATCCACCAACTCACAAAAAAGTTTATGATGATCTTCTGCTACATGCTAACACGACTCGTTCCTTCCTTCCTTCCTTCCTTCCCCTCTCTCGCTCTCCCTCTCTCTGCCTTCTCTCTCTCTCTCTCTCTCTCTCTCTCTCTTACAGTCCCTCTCATGATCAGTCCCACCAGATGTAATTCCGATGCTACACCACGACGAAGGGAGCTGGCATGACGTACTTCCACGGAAGCCCACCACCCAGTGAGAGATTCGTCTGCGCTAATGCTTCTCCTGCTTCTCCTGCTCCTGCTACTCACTCCTGCTACTCCTGCTGCTGTTGCGTTTCTACATCACAGCTCCTCCCGCCCCCCCACATCTCTGCTGCCACACCCACAGCCAATCCTTCCATTCCGACCCCATCGATGCTTCCTTTCACGTTGCCAAGCTCCCTAGCTACTACGTTCGGATGCGATGAACGGGGAAGTCAGAAAAACGAGACGAAGTAGCACCACTTGTAGCAGTAGTGGTAGTA